TCCTTTCCTTTCCTTTCCTTTCCTTTCCTTTCCTTTCCTTTCCTTTCCTTTCCTTTCCTTTCCTTTCCTTTCCTTTCCTTTCCTTTCCTTTCCTTCCCGCCGTCCCGGGACCTGCCGGGACTGCGGGCTCGCTGCGACGCGCAGTGCCCGGATCCCCGAGGAGCTGCATCCCGTGAGGGAGAAGACACCGGGGGAGCTGGGAGTCTGGTGCGCTGGACCTGGAGGGAGCAGGGAGCCGTTCCTGAACCAAAGGCAGGTTTGGAGGGCAGSTTTTCGGTCCTTCCATTCATGCCCTGCACGCAGACCCATCTCCTCTCTCCTCTGGTGCTGGAGGACAGCAGGAAAGCGAGCGCGGCTGCTGCGGCCGCGGGGGCTCCGCGGTCCCCCCGCTGCCCCTCGCTTGGGTGCCCGGCTCAGGGCGCTGCTCCCGGGGCGAGGGCGCCGGGCGCGCACGGAGCCGCTCTTCGCTTCCCCGGGCAGGAGCCGTCGAGCTTGCGAGTCCCCGAGGACGGAGCCAGACACGCGTGTCCCCGAAGCCCTGCCCGAGCCCGGGGCTATGTCCCCGGGTGCCTCAGGGCACCGGCGCCGCACGGGGCTTCTCCCCTCCTCAGTTGGCCTTTCTGGCCCTTGGAGACGGGGAGAGGAGAAGTGGATTCGCCAAGATGCCGCTTCCTTCTCTCTTCCGACGCGGGAAAATCCCACGCCACGTGCGATGAGACACTGCAGAGCCTCCAGGGGAGGTTTCCTCGCCTGCTGCTTACAGGGGAGGAAASCTCGGCAGAAACCCGAGCAGCTCCTGCCCGTCCCTCGCCCCCGGTGCCCGCTCGGGGATTCAGCCTCGGTCATCGGCCTCTTCCCACCGCCTGCACCCGCCTTGCTCCGTGTCCCAGAGCTCCGGGGCTGCCGAGCGCTGGGGCGGCCGCTGGGCCGGGGGCTCCCGGGGGGCCCTGGTTCCCCTCCCGCCCCGCTTCGGGGCTTCAAATAGAGGGGAAAGAGGGAACCGGGAGGCTCTGCCAWCGGGGCCTTCGTTCTCTTATATGTACATATATACGTATCGATATGTATGTGAGCATAATATATATTATATGTACTTATAAACACATGCAAAGTGGATGTGGTTCCTTTTCAGCTGAATATCAACGGATTTTGTTTTCCACTAGATCTCACGTCGAATCGGGAGATGGAGGTTGCTGGTGACTCTGTCCCACTGGGAATCGGTTTCCTCCCCTCCCTTCCCAGTGCCTCCCAGTTCCCATGGGTAAGAGGAGGTGCACTGACATCCCCCTCACCCCAACCCCTTCATAGGTTCACTGCAAACTCGACACCGATCCTCCCCYCCACACATCCCCCCCTCCGCCCCGGCCCGGCGTTTGATTTAACTCCCTCAGTTGTTTGGTTTCTTTTGCCCCCCCTTCCGATCCCCCCGGTCTGAGAAGCCAGGGCCGCGCTGCCCCTCGAGGGGCGCCTTTCCCCCTGCTGCTGAACGGGGGCCGGTGGGGCAGGCGGTGAGGCCGGCTTGTGTTTTGATTAATATGGAAATAAAACGCAGAAATAGCAGCAGTACTTAGCTTCATTGCTTCAGTTTAGAGATTTATTGGCGAAGAGATAAACATTAGTCCGCGGGCGAGCTCAGTAATTCACAGCCTCCATCATTTATTACCAAATGAGCAAATCGTTTTTCTTGAAATCAGCAGAGAGAAAAAGGAACTTTTTCTTTCTTCCTTTTTTTTTTTTTTTCCCTAGTTGTTTGTTTGTTCCCTAGTTTTCCCTGGCATGGGGGCTGTGGCCCAGCTGCTTTGGCCAGGCGTCCACTTGCCAATCAAACTAACGAGTTTATCACAGATCCCTGTCTCTTAAAATGTACATTTCCCGCTCTGCCTTCCCTCTRACTTTCTTTATTATATCTTACCATGAAAATCTGTCTATTCTTTGCAGCCCCCCTTTCCCTCCTGCAGAAGCAGGTACGCAGAGCTTTGGGCTGGAAAGATTTGTCGCAGAATAACACAGTAAAGGTTTGTCACGGGACAACATTGCTCTGCTGCTGGGGAAACAAAGGTCAAGGCTGAGAGGGACCTATAATCTTTTATTAGATGCAGTGGGATTACTTGGGGAAAATGAACCCTCTGGGGGAACGCAAGCSTGTTTGTAGCTCTGGAAAGGAATCAGCAAGCTAAGTGATAACCAAATACTAAAATGTAAGTGGGCATCTTCCACTGGGCTTCTGGTAAATCTAAGCGCGATGCTTTGCGTTTGGTGCCACCGGAGGTGCCCTACCTGAGCTGTCCACATTGTGCTGACAAAACCAATCCAGGACACTCCTATTCTTCTGGATCAGAAGCAGAGTGTGGGTGGGATATCTGACGGCACCCAGTGGTGATAAAGAACTACATTTAGGCAGATTGTTTTCACCTTGTTTATCATTTGCATTCTTTGTTACTTAAGGTAATGAAACTGATTAGAATTGAGAAAGGCTTGTGGGCTGCAGAAATAAAATTGGCAGGAGTTGCTAAACTTACACCATGYCAGAGGGATGATGCAGTTTTTAACAGAGTGTGAGCTATAGGTGCCCTCCCTCTGGCACATCCAATAATTACTGAGTAGAAAACTGACAACACCAGAAGAGTGTGAAAAGAAGAGGCTGCAGTCTGCTTATCCCAAGGAGCCTGTGCTCTCTTCCCCTTCATTCCCCTCTCTAAAGGTTGAAAAAAAAAAAAAAAAAAAAAAAACCATTCTGCTTGATACCACGTTAAAGCGAGCATCTATGCATGGCCATTCCAGCTGCAGGACAATAACCTCAGGCTTGAGGACAAAGCTAGGATCAGTGCTTGAGATTGCATGACCAAAACCTGTGCCTAGTTCTCCAGATTCTCCCAAACTTCTTGCAAGTCTTCAGGATGCAAAAAAAACACAGATGAACATTTTTTTTTCTTTTTTTTTTTYYTTTTTTTTTTTTCTTTCCACATAGTGCTGTTGGTAAGTTCCATGGAAGTTCCCCAAAGTTTTGGGCTTCTGTGTACTTTGACCCATGTGAACAATTTTTATGTTACCTTGCAGAACAGCATTAGAATCTGCCCAATTGGTAGGAAAAAGCACCAACAAGAAGAACTCTGGTGGAATCCTTCTAAGACATATAGAGAGGACTGACAACATGACGACCACAGAGATTTGTACAGGCTCTGTTTCTGATGCCATATAAACTAGGCTAAGCAGCTAAGACTCAGATTTTAAAGTWGAGGTAATGGGAGAGCAGCACCAAACCACAAAAGCTCCTAGTCACAACAGGTAGGAAAAGGAGCAGTTTCAGCAATGTTGTATTGTAATAATATTGTAATGTATATGTATCCCTCAATTGCCACTGAGATCAGGTAGACGAGAAGGAAATTTATTAGTGTCTAAATGTTAGTGCATATGGTTTCAYGATCATTGCCTAGATATTGAATTAYAATGAAGAACAGGCAGTTCCTCAAAAGGAGCTTCCCTTTATTTCTGAGATAAGTCATGTGCAAAGTTTTCAAAGGCAGCTTTAAACATAGGCCAGTCAACCACAGAAAAGGGCAGGACTAGAACTGCTGTTTCTGGCTGCGTGTCCCATTTCCAAGGAACCTTGTCCTATGTCAGTGTTAGAAATTAGGCCATGGTGGTGCTTCTGTCACACCACTGGAAAAATGTGTAGTTCACATTGAAACATTTTACAAATTACTCAAAAAGTTGATGCTTGCGTTATGAAAAAGAAAAAAAAAGTTTTTTTTTTCACAATAACAAATGACTTTTGCAAGCTTTTTTTTCCCTCATTTTAGGTATCCCTCTTAGTTTAATCACTTTATACGCAGTGCCTCTGGCTGTTGTACACCAGGTGCTACTTTGCTGTGTTTTAGCAGCACATCACTACGCAGCTATCTAAAACACTGTGTAATTTCTTCTGCATTTAAAAAAAAATGGAGAAATATTTCAGAATCTGTAAAAAAATATTTTTAGCATAACCTTATTTTTGGTCCAAAGGAATCAAGAGTCATTTGGTGGTCATGGGAAGCCTGTCTGTAAAGTTTCTCCCCAGTACTAACTAGGAAATAGCACCATGGCAAATCTGGGGTAGTTAGTTTTATCATAAAGTCCTGTCACTTTCAAAAGTCTGTCTATTGTGAAGAGGAACGGCACAGTTTCTGCCAGGATATAAGTCTTTTTTATATGATGGAGATAATGTGAGATGCATGAGATTTTCCCCATACTGTGATCACCAAATCTTACTTACTGCTCAGGACTTGCAGATTTCAGTTGAAGACTTGAATTTGGCATACGGGTGTCTTGTGGCATCCACTGCTTCAGAACACACATCACTGAGATGTGGTTGATGAATATAAGAACCCTATGCCTATACATATCCTACTTCTGCATGTTCTTATTCATTCATAAAGTAGGATGGAAACATCTTGCCATTCACCTTTAATGGTAACGCATTTTTCTGAGCTGAACTGTGGTGAAGACTCTGATGTGTCTTGGGCTAAACTTGATGTCGCACATAGTTGACACTAGCAGGCCATGCGTTGCTTTTTTTGCAGCTAAATGAATAAGCCTATCAGCAATACTTTAATTAGGTTTTATTTGTCAGTACTCATTTAGTTCTGGTACGGACCCTTGTGTGCTGTTCTATGAGATGTGATGACCCAACCCCTTCTTCACAGTGCTGCTGCATTTGGGTCCTTGTTGCAAATCCTTTTCAGCCCTGGCCCCTTCCACAGTGCTCTTGGACATAATCTTCATCTCTACCTTCACTGATATAGGGCCATAAGACCATGCTCATGTTCTCCCGCACCCCAGGAATTAGTGATGATTCCTCAGCAGCTTGGCCGCACCTTTTCTTGGTCTCCAACTTTGCAGGCTTTACAGGTTCACCTGCTTAAGCAGATATGTTAGTTAAAGCAAGGACACTGATTTTATAAGTGTTTCAGGAACCAGATGCTCTCATTTCTGAGACCAGGTGCACCAATGTGTGGCTGTATGCAAAATCATGTCTGCCTGTTTCCTCATCACTCTCTGTGTTTGTTGGGTGCACAAAGGTTTTCCAATTCTCAGGATGTTCCAGCATGTCCAAGATTTCCACTTCTGGCTAGGATTATGGACTTCATCCCTACTGGTAAATTAAACAGTGCTACATAATGTTCCCAGGCACTGGAACTCAATTATTTATAGAGTCAAATTGTTACAATGGTTCCTGGCATGATTTGGCTCCAGCAGACTAGCTATCTCCTCAAAATTTCCCCGGCATGGTTTCAGGATAGCATAGGCCAAAGACCAATCCCAGCAGGCAATTTTCGTGCAGCCACACTGTCTGGAAAGCAAGAATTTAATAATGTGGACACAAGCCACTCCATGCCAATTGGCTTCAGAACTAGGGAATTGTCACAGGCAGGTTTTATATAGATGTAGTCCTGAAGTCCTTATCACTTTTGCATCAAGCTTTCTGCTTTGGTTCTTTGTGTCATCTCTCCCCTTCTGTCTCTCTCTAGATTACTAAAACAATATATTTTCTAAATGAAGTGAGACTTTTATCAGCATTATTAACTGACTAAGGTTGCCCATTAGATGATTTTTTTTCCTAATAGTCTTCTCTACCTTTCTATCCTTAGCTTTGCCTAGAAGGCTGGTTTCTTGTACAGGATTAATCTCTCCAACCCTAACAATGAAATTGAAAAGAATATCTATTACTAGGCTTGTGCAATGCACAAGAAATCCTACTTCCATCTTCTGTATGTTTCATGTCAGCATGGGAAAGGTCCTATTTCCCACATGGACTTTTCAGTTCATAGACATATTGCACAGATACAAATAGTCCTCATGGTATTCAAAGGCAAAACTCCCTAAACAATCATCACATCTCCACCAAGGAAAATGGACCCTAGTCAGATCATGCTTTTGCAGTCCCCAAATTTATGAGGAGTTGGGAGAATATGAGAATTGCCCTCTATAGTAAGTGTTACATTGCTGGTGGAAAAAGTGTCCAGCCCCGTAGTTTGAGTGGTACTCTTAGCACTTTTCCCTAAGACCTGTCCCCTCTTCCTCCCAGCCAAGCCTCACTTGGCACCTCTTCCTTCACTTGTTCCAGGATATATCAACTGATCAACACAAAGCAATGCCCCACAGAGAAAATTCCCCCCACACCCTTTTTAATGTGTCTCCTGCATTTCCTCAAAAAAATGCTGGGGCTTTTTCCTTCCACTGGTGCACTTTATGGCTTTGCCAGCACTCCACAGTTTTGAACCA